CCGAGTGAGTTTATATTTTAAGGACTTAACAGTTGAGATTCTAGTTGCCTTGGGAGTTCCTATTAGTATTAAGGGTACTTGGAATCACCTCTGCTGTCACTACTAACCTCAGAGGAACCCTGGAGTGAATGCTGACAGGTACTCTGAACCACTAGTGGGAAGAACAAGTTTCCTGTTCCTTAGGTAGAGCTCAATCTTAGGTAGATCAGAAGGCAACAGCAACCAACGCCAACTCCTCATGTTCACCAATCTGGAGATGCTGTTGGAAACAGCTAAGAAAACTATAATAGAAAGTAACCCTCTGCTAGTTACTATTCAGGATGCAAAAGAGGTCCCATGGCAGTTACTTAACTTACAGCAAGGTATTTAATTAACCCTGTGCATCTCAATGACCTCCTCTGTATTTTGCAACAATAATAACTTCCTCATAGGATTGCTTTGAGAATTAAATAAGACACTTAACACTGTGCCAGGCACTCTGAATCTTCTCAACAAATGGTTTACCATAATACATTTATTACTGTTCTCTTTTTCTATGCCAGGCCTTAGAGAATCTGGGTATAGAGAAAAAGATAGCCAAAAACCATATATGTTGATCCATTGTTTCATTTTATTGATACTTCTAGAAGTTTCCTAGAGCCCACTGTTGTTACCACTTGTTTTCAAAGTTACTTCTTCAAAGCCCTTGAGAAATCAAAAACATTAGCTGACACAATCAATAACATTTAAATTTGATCTTGTAAACTAAGTTTGTGTTGACTTCTTCACCAGGCAAAGAGGTCAAGGGACTTTCCTCACATGAAAACATGACTGTGTGATTTCTGCTAACCCATAAGCACACTTGTCATAAAGTGTTCTGTCAATAAAAAAAAAAAAAAAAAAAAAAACCCATAAAAAAAAGAAAACAATAAAAACCCCTGTGCTGTGAGTGCCAAAGAAACAGGCCTTTACTTTGCATATTGCTTTTAACTCTGGACACCAACGGTGAAACAAGTGCTTCACTTTGATTCAATATCACTTCTGCATCTAGCATTTGACTTTTGGGGAGATTCCAGTGTGCTCCACTCAATTTTTAAAAACTCCTCCTACTCTCAACTATTTAAATGCCATGAAGTTCAGAGGGGAGGAAATTCTTCCTTCTAGGAATTCCTCATGCTCATGTAAACACGTTTACATATTCATTATTTCTCAATTAAAGCTCTTTGGTAGGTCAAAGGTTCTGCTTCTTATTCAAAGCTCTCTAAGATATCAAAAGTGTTATTGGGGAACAGAAGAGTTAGGAAACATCAAAGCAAGGAAATGGAATTTACTGAAATAAATACTTTCCTCTCTTAACCCCTTACCCATTCTGGGGGGAGGGAGGGCGTGCTGAGGGAGAAAACCTGCTGGTTAAATATAATCACTTCTGGAAGGATGTTTTCTCTTTAAAAGAAATAAATAACAAAATTAGATATAAGTGAAAAATGAGTTGCAGAGGAGTTTCTGTGTAAAACTATAGTGTATATCACAAATGCATTATAGAGTGCATCTAAATGAAGTGGTATGCTCCAGTCTAGGGAATAGATCAGAGGCTTTAGGCAAAAATTGACCAAATGATAATCTGATCTTTAGTGAACTTCCACCAGCCTTTGTCCTGCCTTTCCATCATCTGACCCTAAGCAGCTCTCAGCCTTCCAGCTTACCCAAAGTCTTCCATTGCTCTGACCCACCTAACAACATTCCATAAATAAAGTTCCATTTCTCTCAAAGTGACTGATCTGATGTGGTGTTTGCAGAAAGTTAATCTATACTTTTTTAAAAACCTACTTTTTTTTGAAATGTTATGAAATATAATATATATGTAGAAAAGTACACAAATCCTAAGTTTTTAGCTTAATGAATCATAGAAAGCTATCTATAATAAATGAATTAATTCATGCTAGAGTACAGATATACTTCATCCATTTTAAAAGATAATCTTCTTTAAAAAAATTCTAATTAGTGGCATCACAACTTTGAGGCTAACATGCTATGTATACTCAAGCAAAGTAATAAAACACTCCAGTCCTGACATGAGAGAAATCTTTCTTATTATTTTAAGGCTGAGATTGGATCCTGTAGAAACTTGCTTTATGAAACAACTGGGAATGAGATTTCAGGAAATTATTTAAACTTGACTTGATCCTGTGACTTGGTCTTTACATGAGTTGTCATTCATTTATTTTCTATGGGGAAATTTCAGGACAACTAAGGAGCAAATATTTCTTGTTTTGAAATGTATGGTTTTTGTTCATAATTGTTCTTGGGAGGGATGTGGAATAAGGCGGGTCCTGTCTAGGAGTCTGCATGCACGTAAGCCTACTGCAGTGACTTAGGTTAAAACTGAAATCAAATTTGCTTTGGCGTACACCTCCACTGTTCTCAACATCTTCCCTAAAACGTGTCTCCCCTGGTCATTGCCGTTACTCCGCATCTCCTTGATTTCTGCTCTCCATAATCCAACACATTTTGAAGCCTTCCTGTCATGTGCGCGCGTGTGTGTGTGAATACATATTCCATTCTCAGGGTCCAAAGCTACCTTGTTAACCTGGCAACCTTATGGACAGAGCAGAGTTCAAACCCTACAATGATCTCTCTGTAACATTCCAGAGGATTTGGGTCCCCCAAAAAGGGATTTCAGAAAGAGGACCCTATAAATCTAGTAAGGAGATAGTTTTTCTCAGCAGGACTTTCTAGTATCTGTGAAATATCTTTCAATAGATGATAGCTTGTTCCAATGCACACATGCAGTTCTAGCCTGTATTGAAGTGGACTACCACAATCTTTCCATCCTTACCCTATTGTTTTTATCCCTTGACAACGAAGCTTTGAGGACTTGAAGCAACAGATATAAAGAGTCCTAAGGGATTGGATCACTGTAAGCTTAGTCTCCTCATCCTAGTCCAATTACAATGTTTTAGGTTCAAAAGGGATTCTGCCCCACAGATTCCCACTGAGTTTGGATGCCAACTCGGAGAACACATCACCTTCCTGTTTCCCTTCAAGAGCTGATAGAATGGAATGCAAAGCACATGTCTTCTTGCTGCCAAAATCACTGCCAAAACTGCCTGACTAGATGTGTAAGATCCCATGAAATGTCTTGGCAAAAGCTAGTTTCCGAGTGTTGGCCAAGGTGCTGAAGTGAAGCAAGGGGAGGCAGGAACACCTTTGCCAGTGGATGTCCCCACCCCCTACCTCTTTTTAAGACACTGAGCTTATTCATTTTGACAAGATACCCTAGGATTTCAAATCTGACATAATTTTGGAGAAAGCAGTATTTGTGTATGTGTGTGTGTATGTGTGTGTGTGTGTGTGTGTGTAAATGGAGTAGCTGGGATATCTATTCTTTATAGAAATTCCAGTGCTACAAAAACCTTAGGAGAACCTACTTAATAAAACACAAATCAAAAACAACATTTTAAGCTGTTCATTCCAGTTGAATGCTGTATTTCTCTATTAGATTTGCAATTGGTCAGATGAACCAATTGCAAAATAAAGTTATTGCAAAGCGAATGGCAGAAAATGACAAAGCCTCAATCCTGGATGATCACTCGAAAGTAAAAAGTATTTTCTATTCACGTCCGAAGATTTTCTTATTATCTCTACTTTTACTTGAATTAAACAGTTTTTTTTTAATGTTCTTTTTGACAGTTTTTCCTTCCTGCCCTGAAAATGTGCGTGCTGATATGAGAAGCACGGGCTGCCCCTGGCACAGTGTGAGCCAACAGTTGAATCCCCTCTGGTTACTTTTGGCTTGCGGCCGTTGTTAGTTGAAGGGGAGGGCCCCCGGCCCCCCATTTCTTTTCCCCCCCACCCCCCTGGGCATCGCCACCTCTTCCCTCTGCCAGGCAATTTGCTTCCGTCCTGTTCAACTTTCCGACCTCTGGCTTCAGAGAATGGTCCTGGCTGTGGGAACTGGCTCAGGGCAGCGTTTGGCTCCCTCCTCATTGGCGACTGGCAAGAGTAACACTTTCTTTGACATTCTTAAAAAGAGCTGTTTAATTCCTAATGATATTTACTGGCAAAAAAAGAAAATGAAACACACAAGGCGGATTGCGGTCCAGCAAAGGCAGGCCAAGAGCCCGGCCGCGGAGCCCGGGTCTTGCTGTGAGGCTGTTGTTCCCACTCGCTTCCCCTTCCCACTAGAGTTAATTATTTTTTTCCCTCTTGCCGCTTCTACCCTGGAGCGTGACACCCGCTGGAACTTACGTACATCTGGAGAAGTATGGATATGCTTTGGGCATATGGCTGGCACCTGCCCCAGGGACTTCCCGCGGAAATCACCCAACACTTCGAAGGCGTTTCAATAAGGAAGTAACCAGCAAAGCGTTGCTGGCGGGAGAACCCCGCGAAACATCTCAGAAAAATACCAGAAACCGCCGGATACTTAATGACCCACATCTCCTCCAGCCTGCTCCCCCGGCCCTTTCTGAGGGAGTATAAAGCGGTTTGTGGGTTTTCATCCAGTGGTGGAGGGTTGTGCGAAGTACCTTTATTTCCGCGGTAGTTAAGGCGGGCGGAGGGTCCCAGATCTGCTAGGTCGAGGACCGCGGATCGCGTCCCTTTCACTCTGCGCACTGCTGTTGAATGAGGGGGGCGCGCAGGGGACTGGGGTCCGCTCTCCAGATCCCGCACCCTGGCCTCCGCGTGACCTAGCGCCAGTGTGACTGGCGGTGCATTCCCGTCCCCTCTCACCGCCCAAAGCCCGGGCACGTCCTCTCCCACGCTGCGCCTCTGCTGCCCACACAGCTGCTCGTCTAAGGGTCCCGCGTCCCCAAATGCGCCCGGGTCCTTACGCGTCGGTGGCGCTGCCTAGCGGAGGTGGCACCAGGGGCGCCCGCAGAGGCGGCGCGGGAGGGAGTGCGGGGGAGAGGACCGGCGAGCTGCAGGGGCAGGGACGCGCCGGGCTTCCGGGGAGGCCGGTCCTGGGCCCCCTGGACGCCCCGAGCGCGCGGGAGGCGCAGAGGACGCGCCGCACTCACCCGCTGCTGTTGCCGGCTGCTGACGGCCACCGCGGCGGCGGACGCGGCGCTGTGCCGGAGCTCGGCCGCCTGCCCAGGTCTCAACAGGCTCCGGGTGAACCTGCGGGTCCGCTCGCTGGCCATCGCCGGCCGCGCCGAGAGCGCCGCGGGCCCGGAGCGCGCGTCCCGCCGGTCTTCCCCGCGCCAACCTTCTCTACCCACCCGCCGTTCAGGAAGCGGAACTCGGAGCCTTTCCCCCCCTCTTCCTCGCTCAACTCTCAAGAGGCGGGTTTTTCTCTCTTGCACCCCCACTCTTCCCACCCCTTCCCCTCCGCTGAAGCTTAGCGACGACTTTCCAAACGTTGCGCTCCTCCGGGCGCGCGTGGCCAACTCGGCGGGCGGCCGCGGCCCGGCAGCGGCGCATCTGCAGCGGGAGCCGCAGGACGCGCGCGGGGCGGCTCCGGCCTGCGCCGCCCACCCAGGCTCAGCTGGCCGTCCCGGGCTGTCCCCGCCGCCCCGGGGAACTGCAGGCGGCGGGGGAGGGCTCGGTGGGCCGCCGCTGGGCTCCGGGCGGGGCCTGCCCAAGGCGGTCATCCCCGCTTGGAGGCTGCTCGGAGAGTGGGAGCACCGGCTGCGCTTGCCGGTTAGACCCCCACTTTCCGGGTCTGTCGAGTGGGTGCGGGCGGAGCTCTGGCCGCCCTTTCACCCTTGCGAAGGGAGGGGGTCAAAGGCTTATCAAGGATCTGGTGGCTGGGATCCCCGCAGCATCGTCCAAGCCAGTGTTTGGAGGTCTTTGCCAGAAGTCCTTACTCAGGGCCTTGGAGTAAGTTTCCACATTCATTCACAGATTCAACCAGTATTCATTAAGCGCCTACTGTATGCCAGCTCGCACTGCTTTGGAAACTGAGGATACGGAGGGGAACTTACCAGTCCTACCTTAGGGGTATGGGGGCTGATACATTTTTTGGGTTGGGGCTAGAAGGCAGCAGATAACCAAGTGAACAAATAAGCAAATACAAGTGAACAAGACAGCTCCCCAGATAGCAATATGAGCTAAAAACCAATAAATAAGGGTAATATGGGGTAGAAGACTTTGAGTGGCATTAGGGTGAGTAGGCAGGAACCGACTTGCAGGGTCCCTAGGTAGAAAGGGCAGGTACGGGGTGGGCTTCACAGCTGTGTTGCTCCTCTGTTCCTACTCTTGCCGCGCAGCCTGCACTCTGTTTCTAGGTATCTGATTAAACGGTTCCAAGATCTCTCATCCTGCGTTGCTCCCAGAGAGGTTCTCCTACTTAACGTGGGGCTGAGCGGGGGCGGTGGGAGCAGACCTGGCCCCTGGGATACCGGTCTGGAGAGATCTGGGACAGCCTAAGTATTCTGGAATTTTCTTAGCAGCTGTTTTATAGATCCATGACCCTGCCATTTTCTAAAGCCAATAATGTATGGTTTTAACTCAAGGTCACATTTGGGTATAAAGAATCCTTAAGCAGCTTTTAAATGCATTTAAGTCAGCTCTCTGCTATCTGGGATTCAATTAGCCAGAGATGCTGATTGGGGATATTTCTGCACACTCTAGAAATCATGATGGGCAGAGGCTCTGGAAGATTTAGGAAGTGCCATTTGAAATATCATCTGGTTCCAAGACACCCTGCATAATGAAGAACTGTGTGCCGTGTTGTATGCTTTCATACCGGTACTCGATATGGGAACACAGTCACTTTTAAGGGCAAGCAAAGTAGGTGGTTGCCCCTGTGGTGGCATACGAAGATCTCTGTAGGAACAGTGCCCTCCAACCACACCCTCTCACAGGTGTGTCCTGC